GACAAAACACTATTTCACAAACCTGTACAATTCTTCAACTTAAAAAATACTGCTTTCTTTTACATACTGAATCTCCTCATCTTATCCCTTCTAGGATACATTTTATGGACACCAGGATAGATACAGGAAACAAGGTCATCTGCGTTGAGAGTGACTAAACCCTCCACTTTACACCTTTTTCTCTACAGAGGAACAGTAATTTTTAATATTGCCATCAACAGCTACAGAAAAAACCTCACCCTGTTAAGATAAACAAAGCTGTTTAGTATGAACATTTTAAGGACACCTAAAAGCGGATTTGTAACCTATACCAAAAAGAAGCAATCAGCTATTCAACACCAGTGACTTTAAGATAACACATATAGAAGAGTGTTATCTGTAGAATTTTTATAGAAGAGCAATGGTGGAATTGTGATATATGTTATCATATCATATCGACACTGCAGATACCAAACAGAATAGAAAGCTGAAAGGAAGAGGTCTCTATGCTCGTTACTTCTAAATGTTCATAGTAGCACTTAATAAATCACAATTTACACCTAGATTTTCTAAGCAATTTAACATTTTGTGCCTCAAAAGACTACAGCCAAGCAGCATCCACAATTCACTTCTCATGCTACATGTCATCTCTGTAGATTAAAAAAGGGCTATCCCAAAGAACACAGTGACCCAGAAGCCAAAGATAAAGTGTTTACAATTTGTTCCAGACATCACCTATTTAGCTGCACATAGTTCTTTATATTTACAGCCCCTTCTATTGCTCTGCTGAGAGTAGTAACCTGAATATGCCAAGCCTGCTAAACATTGACTAAAATTACTTCAGTGTCTCATAGCTGCAATTGTTTAACGAGTGCTACACAGGCACAGTATGAGTAACACCATTTATAATCAGTTAAACTAATCATCCTTACCCCCTTCCATAACCCCTTCTTCTCCAAGGACAGATAAATGTCATCTTCTAGTGGCTTTTGAGACACTACTCAGCCAGCCATTTCAATAGACGAGAGGTCCCATGACCCAGAAAGCATCATTTTGACAATATCCAAGCTGTTTTGAAAAAAAAGGAAGTCAAAATCTATTAAGTGGATGTTTGCCGAAAGATCCAAGTTTTTAACATGATTTAATAAAAATCAGTCTGCCACTGAATGTCATTTTCTCTATAATCAGAGCCACATTATATATACTTTAACATTCAGCTGATTAGTCTAAGCTAGGACCTCAAAGTACCAACCCCTAGGCTGCCAACCAACAAAACCTCCCCCACTGCTAACTCCTGTGGTTTTTCTAACAACAACAGGAAGGTGTTCTACAAGGTATTTCTTATTCTTCTTTCTTTTGATAACATGGCTGCATAGCCTCATCTGTCTGGCCTGCAGCCATGCAGCCACCAAAGCTGTTTTCTGCTTCCTGAGCGGGTGCTTTAAGACACTAAACTCTGACAAAAGCACCACTTTGTTGCTCTGGTTTTGAAAACTAATTGCATCCTATTAGCCTGATCTAAATTAGGAGTCCAGTTCACACTCCACCGAGCTTCTCAGCAGTGATCCGACTCAGATGGAAACCTGAAGCCAAGCTGCTTGGAGTGGTTGAGGTTGGGTGTGAACAAGAGCAAATTCCTTGGCTTCAAAGAAACCAGCTCCCAAAGCGCAAACATCCAGCCCCTGCTCCTAAGCTGAAGGTGCCAGGACAGAAAGCTGGTGCTGGGCATCGCCTGCATGTGGTGAGCTTCGGAACAGTGCCACCAACATGGATATTCACCCTTACTTACCCACCTAGAACTCCATCTGTGTACTGCCTCTCCGGGTAGTGCTCTCAGGTGTCCCAGAAACCAGCTCCCAAAGCGCAAACATCCAGCCCCTGCTCCTAAACCTGACAAGTTCTGGCCTTTTTCCAGGATGAAGCAGCTGCATCAGGGAGTGCTGCAGACAACTATTTTGGATTTAAGCAAGCAGAACTGGTACTTGTACTATCTAACTTAACGGTTATCTAATGCTAGTGTTCTGAATTTCTCACCTAGAGATGCTTCATTATCTTACCAATAAAGAATAGAAACTTTAAATGGTACAGAAGACCAAAGTGCAAAAATCTACTCCTCTAAAGTCTCTTTAGGTCCCATTTTAGGCACCAGGTACTTTCTTCTTTGCCCTGACTCCAAGCCACAAACTGCAAGTACTGCTTAGCAACAGAAGTTCAGAGTTAAGAAAAACTGTCAATGGAAGATGATTTAAGGTGAGGAATTCTAGATGCCAATTGTTCACAGAAGCAGGCTCATTTTTATCTGTTTCTTTTCCAGTCACCTGCCTCAAGTGACTTTATGCTTGGAACAAAAGAGCATAGAGGAACACCACTGGGTCAGTTATAATAGTCTGGACTGAGCTACTGATTCATGCTGACAAAAGCAAATCCTACAGGGAAAGCAGTGAGGCAGAAGCAGCAGAGTAGAAAGATATATCAACATGCTTCAGCTGCTGGAACTCTTGAAGAAGTATTGCATCAGGTCAGAACAAAGGTCAGTTTTGTTTTTATTCTTTCTGACAAGACACCAGTAGCAAACATGAAACAGTAAAGTGTGTAAGAATAAAACATTCCCAGGCTGTTAATATGCCTGTATATTTTACAGTTAAAAGTAGTCAGTAATTTAGGATATTTCTGAGTGGAGACTTACATACCACATATAAGTCTAACCCTTTTGACCCTGTGGCCCAGATAAGAGTCACATAGCAGTGAGTTCCACTACTACATTACACAGTGTAATGACATAAAAGTTTGAAATTTGCTGCCTGATCACTTCATTTAAATCTTAATTCTTATAAGTTACCAAACATTCCCAAATCGAAGTCACAGACAACGTCAAGCTGGTCCTGTCACATTTTAGTTCTTTTTTTAACCAGCATTGAACCTGGTATTGGAGAAGACGACAAACCCTGATTTTAAGTAGTAGATTTGAAGTATTTTTGTTTTGCTCTTCACTTATTTACTTTACTACCATTAAGCCCTAACCTAGTGCTTGCAGAGAAGCACAATGGCAGCAAGGTTTTCTTCCTTAGCAGAGTTCAGAAGTCCTTGGTCTTCATTGTTACACACAAGATGTACAGTGACTTGTGCTTATTAACTCTAAGTTACACCTGGCACGCTGGCACTCAGCTATGCCATATGAAGAGATCCTTCTGAAATTCAGCAGAAAATCACAAAGCCTTAAAAACATTCTTTGGACTACTGAGCCCAAGCCCTTTGTATGGATAAAGCCCGATATTTCTTCCCATTCTGTGGCTTGAGTAGTTTGTACAGAAAAATCTTTTACTTTATTACCTTATTCTTGTTTCTAAATTCTTGTGAAAGTAGCAACAGAAGACCCCAGAATAACCTTCTGAATATGACTGCTTTGTATTGGCTTAGAGGGTGTGTGTCTTTGCTTTGCACCTAGTTATGTATTTGAATGTATATCGGTATTAGACTACATAATGATACATTTGAATTTACATTTTCTATATTTGGAAGAAAATCAAGTCCTGATGAGCAACAGGAAGAGCTGAAAATAGAAACAGAGGCCAGCTGGTCTCTTCTTTGAAGTGTGAAAGTGTGAACATGTTTTATATTGTGCCTTCTAAAAATGAAAAGTTTAGCTACACAAAGTGGCCAATGTAAAAGGGTTACCACCATCACCATGTGTCTGTGGTTTTGGGAGTGATCACTGCTGCAGGGCTTTGTACTGTTCTCCTAGTGTGTCTATGAGGCTTTTTAGGAGAACGTGACTAGAACACTACAGAGATTTAAAAGGATGGAGACCCTATTTAAAAGATCTGAACAGCTTTAGGTGCAAAATAGACACCAACACGCTTTGCTTAGAGACCATGACAGTTCCAAGTACACACGAAAGCTGATTTTTAAGTATGTGGGAAACTTTGTGCCCTTTGGATTTTGCCAGCAGGTTCAGATGCCTGAGAAGACAGAACTGTGATCCATGTTAGATACAAGTATATTTAAAACCCTGTACATAACCATAATTATCATGTTAAGCACCCAAACTGCAGTCAGGAGAAATAATGCAGTATAAGCCCTTATCACAGCAAAAGATTTTCAATATCAGATTTGAGCACACTAGCATATATGCACATTCCTATCTTTAAAGTATACAGCTATTCTCATTTTTAATGCAAAAGCAACAGAACTGTCACTCTACAAGGATGCTGGAGAGGGACCTTCATCAGGTACGGCAGTGACAGGATGAGGGATGATGGGTTCAAACTAAAACAGGGGAAGCTCAGGTTAGATATAAGGAAGAAGTTCTTCACCATGAGGGTGGTGAGGCACTGGAATGAGTTGCCCAAGAAAGCTGTGAATGCTCCAACCCTGGTGGCATTCAAGGCCGGGCTGGACGGAGCCTTGGGTGACACAGTTTAGTGTGTGGTGTCCCTGCCCATGGCAGGGAGGTTGGAACTAGATGATCTTAAGGTTCTTTCCAACCCAAACCATTCTATGATTAGGTATGTTTCAAGACTGAACTAATCACCACATCACTTTTAACTTGCATCTCCTGTGAAGCCTATACTGTATACAGGCCATATAATACTATGAAGAGTGGAGCAAGTTACTAAAACTGTGTTTAAGGCAGAAGTTCAACATCTTAATATCTTTTTGTAAACAGATGTATTGTTTAGTCTAAAATGATTTCACAGACCGAGCTGATGTGACATTAATTTATTATATTACTGCATAAAGAGTTAAAAGACTAGTACAATGCTTAAGGCTGAAAATCAACCTCGTGCCCAGGAACTAGTGCAAGATTCATATGCTACTAAAGCACTGCTTCCAAACATACAATAAACAGAACAATACATGAAGCATCAGTGGTGATAACAGTGATTCTAAGAGGAACTCCTTTTAGGAAAAAATCTTGGAAAATTCTCCAACGAAAGATTTCACTTGCAGGGGTTGGGTCTAGATACTAACTGCAAAAAACATTCTCCAAGATATTTTTCTAGATTTAACTGTAGAAACACATAATTTTCTTAAGAGACTGCCTTCAAAGGTGAAGTTTTGAAAAAGAGAGAGATTAAATGATGGGAGGTCTGGGCGTCAGGGCAGAAATAGAACAAGATTTTCAGTAAGTTTCTTCAACACCGAGACAAACCTGTATTACAGATAACTTTGTAGCACTTTACAAAATGTACACTCTGTATATTATATATGCATATAAAACAGCATTATTTCAATCACTAAGTTCTTCCTCATCACTGAAATAAGCACTTTTCTTAATCCGTGGACGTTTTGAATCATCTGAAATTGAAGATTCCCCTGCAGACTGCGTCCATCTTTGTTGTTCTTCCTCAATTTTGGCTTGCTACAATGAAAGAAGGAAAAGTATTAGCCAGGATTAAGAAAAAGTATGATGCATTACAATAATAATAATGCTAATTATTAATACACATTGAATTAATTTATTGAATTAAGTTAAAGAATTCAAAGGGTTTATCTCCTTTTCCAGATAAACTGTGCAATGAACGCACCAGAAAGCATTTATGAAAGTTCCCACGTGCAAATAGTATGTATTCTGCACCAGTGCAGGCTACATGGAGCACCCTCCATTTTTAAAGAGAGGAACTTTGCCCGTGGCAAACTTACAGAACTATAGAGAAGCTGAGATCTGAAGCAAAGAATGCATCACATTTTAAACAGACGGGAAGAAATGAGAATATTTCTTGGCTTGTTTATATTTATAGGCTTTACTTCCAGTTATGGAGTTTTCCAGTCATGGGGGGATAATTACGCATATTTGCATTGGGTTTTTTTCGGACTATGTCATGTAAACGTTTTGCACTCACAGTCATGTTCAGAAAAAAGTTATCTTAAAATCTCTTGAAGGTTTTCTTGGAGGGACAAGGGCGCACAAGGGGACAGCTGAGAACCAGGCAGTGAAGAAATTTGAAGATCAGGTCAGGCTTGCTCTGTTTAGGGAAGCAAAAGCCTGTAAAGTATTGAAAAAGTATTTTACAGGCAAAAGCCCGTAAAGAAGTATTTTCTACATAACAAAAAATGCACTAAATATGTTTTGAGAGAAGTCCATTAGAGACCACAATGGACAAGGCAAAGGAAATGCTCCAGAAATAGATGTTGTTGAAGGACAAGGTAGTGAGTGAGGACAGAGAATACACCTGGTCATTTATACATGACTGTTTTTCTGGCTGCTCAGTTAACAGAGTAAAGAGGGATTTGTGGACCAAAACCCTAATAGAACATCACAGCAGAGATGACAGGAGGAAACTAAGCAGCAAAAGAGCTTGAAGGAAAAAAACAGAAGAGAAACCTGCAGCACACAAACACATCAATAGTGAAAACAGTAAAGAAACGACCAACTGAGTGCCCGGGGGTGCTACAGAGCAGACAGCCCTAGGGCTGTATCTCAGAGCTTTTGAAATGCAGATCAAAAAGGAAGTAGAATTGCATCTAAATAATAATAAATATGCAATGCTTCAATTTTGTACCTGAAAAGCTATAGCTTGGCTGAGACTATCTAGAGCAGGGTCTTCTCCTTCCTCTTCGGTTTCTTCCTCCTCCTCACTTTGTTGTGCAAAGAGAAAAATATATAGATCTTTAAGTGTTCAGTATGAAAAAGCTTCCAAATAAAAAAAACCCACAGTAGTAACGTGTCAATAAATATACATACATTTCTTCGGGCTCAACTACTTTCTTTCTTTTCTTCTTTTCTTTTTTTTTTGGTGGCTCCCGCTCTCCTAGCATATTTTTAGGACACGCATAACTTAAGTGTCCTGCTTCCTTGGAGAAAAAGAAATACTGCTTAACAGAAACAATTACAGACAACTACCTGTTAAAACATACCATGAGGAAAGTTAATGTAACACAGTTCAAGGGGAAAAAAATGGAAGCAATTAGTAAGATAAATGGAATGCTGAATTAGCACACAGAAGACAAACTCTCCTCTATAAGCTTGCCATGGAAACGAAGAGATTGGTGGCGATATGCATGTTTAACTGCAAATTGATAACAGGCTATAAGCAAAGTAGATTTTCTTTGGCTACTGCAATAGCTGAATACACTACAGCACCGTTTATGTTCAAGTCAAGATATAAACCTCAGCATTAACAGTTTAAGAAACAGGAGCGAGTCAACATTTCTGCTCTAGAAAGTGTTATGAATATAAATCAAGGCTATATTTGACATTAAATACTAGCAAAATCTGAATCCCCTATGTTCTTACATTCAGGGAAAGCGAGGAATTGCCTAAAACTTAAAACACGCTGCTTCTGTATAAAACCAGTTGTTTCCAGTATTTATTTTACTGCCAACGATACCATGAATTTCAAAAGGTATAACAAAAGCAGGTATTTTGAGTCAAAGATTATAAGGTTTTCCTTCTCAGACAGCACTATACTGGTACTCAGATCTGTGTGCTGATCAACATGTTAAGCAGCAATTATATATACAAACTTCCCCCCCAAAGCTCAAATAAAAGACAAAATGGGTATTATCCTTCTTGAAAATGGTAAAACTGCTCTATTAGTTGGTAATATCTACCAAAAAAAAAAAAAAAAATTAACAGCATGGGCAGGATTTAACAGCAATGGCCAAACTGAAGAAAGAAGCCAAAAGCCTGTGCTGGTTTTGGCTGGGGTAGTTAATTTTCTTCAGAGTATTTAGCATAGGGCTATGTTTTGCATTTGTGCTGGAAACTGTGTTCATAACACAGGGATGGTTTAGCTATTGCTGAGCGGAGCTTACACAGAGTCAAGGCCTTTTCTGCTCCACCCCACCAGCAAATAAGAGTGGGGGTGCACAAGAAGTTGGGAAAGGACACAGCAGACCCCAACTGACCAAAAGTGTATTCCATACCATATGATGCCATGCTCAGCAGTAAAACTAGGGAGAAGTTTGGTGGAGGAGCCACTGCGCAAGAACTGGCTGGGCATTGATCAGTTGGTGGTGAGCAATTGTCTTCATTTGCATCACTTGTTTGGGTTTTATTTTTTTCCTGTTAATTTTATTATCATTACAATTTATTATTATTACTATTTTATTGCAATTATGAATCTGTGCTTATCTCAAGCCACAAGTTTTCTCACTTTTACCTTTCCAATTCTCTCCCCCCCACCCTGCTGGGGGGTAGAAATGAGCGAGTGTGGTGCTTAGTTGCTGGCTGGGATTAAACCACAACAGATTCAAAAGATGGAATATATTCATTGATTTTTGGTTTTACTCACCCCGCATTCGTAGCATTTAGACTTATCAAAGTAATTACGCCTGCGAATGAATTCTGCTGCTCTTCCATTATCAATGGCAATACTTGCTTTTATTACTCTTCCAAACAACTACAGCAAATTAAGGGGGGAAAAAAAAAAGGTAAGTATTTTGGGACTGTAAACCCAACCCTCCAGTCATAACAACTTTCCACAATTTACCTGTTTGTTATTAAGTGCCCGAGAACAGTTTTGTGCAGATTCTTTATCCAAAAACAAAATAAAGGCAACTCCTTTACTCTTCCTGGTGTCTTTGTCTTTCATAATAGTAACTCTGAAAACAGAGAACCACATTATTGATATACTGAAATTACTTCAGAGACATTTGTTCTTTAAAGATATTGGTGGGATCTTAGCTTTGATACATAGTAAAAAAGAAAAAGCATATTTAACAATAGAAAGGCTCACTTAAATAGAAATTCAAAGGAACAGTTAAACTGGCCATGCAGCCGGGAGGGCCAGTAGTGTCTTGTGGTACATCTGGAGGAGTGTGGCCAGCAGGTCACGGGAGGTGATCCTCCCCCTCTACTCGACCCTGATGAGGCCACATCTGGAGTAGTATCTTGTTTCGGGCTCCTCAGCACAAGAAAAACAAGCAGCCACTGAAAAGGGCCCAGCGCAGGGCCACAGGGGTTAGGAGCTTTTCTTATGAGGAGAGATTGCGGGAGCTGGAAAGGTTTAGTCCAAAAAAAGAAGACTGAGAGGGGATGTCATTAATGCATATAAGTATCTTGAAGGTGGGTGCCAGGACGATGGTGCCAGACTCTTTTCAGACGTGCCCAGCAACAGGACGAGGAACAGTGGCCATAAACTAAAACACAAGAAGTTTCACCTCAACATGAGGAAGAACTTCTTTATCTTGAGGGTGGCAAAGCACTGGAACAGGCTGCCCAGGGAGGTTGTGGAGTCTCCCTCTCTGGAGACATGCAAAACCCCCCTGGACACATTCCTGTGTAACCTGCTCTAGGTGGCCTTGCCTTGGCAGGGGTTTGACTGGATGACCCCCAGAAGTCCCTTCCAACCCTAACGATTCTGTGATTCCGTACAGATAAAGTGGAGATGATTTTATAAAATTTATTCCCTTGGGTGGCTTGAAAAAACAGAGGACATACTCTTTAGACTTGGACAACCTAACTGTAGAGAACTACACATACTGAAGCTGAAATTAAAATTGAGGAGTAATGTTACCATTGTTAACATTGCTAAAAAACACAGCATCTTGAACTGCATCCAAACTGAGAAATCTATGTACATGTAAGTCTAACCAGCTAAACAGATTCATGATAGGAAATGATAAACATAAGCAGTATTGCTCTACAAACATCTCTAAGCGGAATCCAAGCAGATCATGGATGCATATGTTATTTTATGTAACATACAAAATCAAATCTTCACCCTAACCCTGGAATCAACAGCTCCAGCAGCACAACAAGAAGTTCAAGAAAGACCATGACCCAGTAAAAACAACAGACAAAGGATGACAAGAGGTGAAGGGGTAAAGGGGTGGGAATTCTTTCAATCTAAATATCGACTGTATTTAGCTCTAGGAAACAAACAAACAAACAAGAAGTATATGTTAATAAAGTACGGATTAAGCTACTCCTTGTGCCCACCATGGGCAGAATAAGGATCATCCATAACGCAAGCCAAAATTGTAAGTACTAATGGAACAGTTTTAAAAAACCCAAACAAACAAACTCCACTTCAATGCAGAAGGCATACCAGGGAACCTGTGTAACAGATGATCTGCATAGTAAAAAGCATATAAAATGAAAGCTCAATAAAGAAATCTCAATTTTCCCCCAAATACATGCACAGAAAGATAAAGCTTGCTACAGGTTTTTTACCAAAGCTTCTCGGACAAGGATGTATCTAACTGAATGCACTGAGTTGAAGAGTCAGTAAAACTGACTTTACAACAGTTTTATTAATTCCTTCTCCAAGATTTCCAAATGAGCGCTAATATGACTGTCAGGCTTCTAACTGGGATATTGAATCTACCAGTTAAAAACACGAGCACAGAAAGAAACAAGCGTGAGAAATCTTTAAGAAGTCAGCAATTTCTTGGAGCTCTAGAAAGTCCGATTTCTCAGAGAACAAAGTGAGCTAAAATCGTAATAGTCAGGATATGCTCGGGTGAGAAATGAGGATGTGATTTTCCTGAGTCAAGACACTTAAAAAAATGTCTCTAAAGCTTATTTAATTAAATTAAAGCTGACCTCGATGGCATCACAAAGCTTTCTGTAAAGTGTTTTCAAGTCCCTGAATACAGATTGTACAGAAATCAAGCTAGTATTTGAAAATATTTTTCTTGGGAATTAATGACTAGTTGCAAATAGGAAAACCTGATCCTTGTTAGCCTCAGTTTCAAAGTGAAATGGGATACCAGTAGAATCCCACAGTATTGACACTGTTTATAGTCAGGTCAGGTTGCAAACGGGTGAACAGGAAACAAATTTTGCTAGATAAAAAGAAACATAGTAGTATTTTACACATGATATTCTGTGACTCTGTATTTGGCTTAACTTCCGGCAGTGATGAAGCAAAATGACAAGAAAAAGTAAGTATCAGTATGTGATTTCTTTGCAAAACAATATGTGTGTGGGGGGAAACAGTTACTGGGCAGACAGAATTGCAAGTTCTACATGAGCAACTTTCACACAGGTCACAATGCAGGAAAACACCATTTCTGTTGTCTATGACAGTAAGAAAAGGCAAATAAAATATTAGAAAGTATTAAAAAGAGAAAGCTGCTATGATACCTTTGAAATAAGCAATGCATCGTACAGCCAACATGTCATACAATTCTCATTCTCCTATCAAACAAGCTCAAAAGCCAGGACAGTAGCACATCCCTACCCCCAAACACACAGAGTAAAGGTATATTACCAAATGCTAACAGGAAGATCAGCAGTGTCAAATTTATGTAGAATAAGCCCCTCAGTGGATAAACACCAGTATTACTCAAACCTCTGTCAGGATTTTTCTAGATTGGTAGTTCAGCTATCAGCTAAAACAGGTCAGACACCCCACCCTGGAAACAATCGTGCCCAGTTATACTGGTCATTGCCTGTCTGCCAGAGCCCTACATAAGGGGTTTCCTCTCAGTCAATTTTTAAAGAAACCCTACAACTTTAGAAAAACTTATGTTTTTCTTGCTATTTGTCACCTGAAACACACTCCTGAGAGTTGAACAACTTTGAATTTAGCTCTGTATCTCACAGATTACTACAGCAACTACTAGAAGTTAAGAGTAGATATTTGCTGGTATAGGGTTAAAAACTGAAGTCTTGAGTCTGGTTATTCTGACTAGTTAAAAAATAAAAAACAAATCAAGAGACAAATCAAAACAGCAAGTTCCTTATTGTGGCAATCATGTCTCCCACTTCAACACAGAGGCAGGTATTCACAAGCACTGTTCATTAATACCCCACATCTTAAAAGCTGTTACTACGCAGCCTTACATCTAATCTTAAATATAACACTAAGCAGTCACACTAAGAAGTCCTTCTAGAACCACAAATAGAGGAATTGTACACTGCAATTGTGGGAACTGTTTGTGGGAATTGTGACGTCTAGTTCACATAAGTAGAAGCTCCCACTTTTACACTATCCACTTGTGTCTCAGGCAGCATTCAGGGGAAGGGAAACAACACTTATGAGAAGAACATTGTTTCAACTATTCAAGTGAAAAGACCATTGGTATATAACAACATTCTACTTGCTGTTAAGAGGTGGTTAGCGAACCTGTCCCTCAACACAAATACTCTTACATCATGTGTGTAACTGCAAGAACTTCCAGTTGTTAAATTAATTTATACTTTATTAAAAATGGACAGCACGTCAAGACAGTTCCACATTCATTCTTGAATTATAAAAAGCACAAGACTGTCAAGTGAAGCAAAGACATTAAATACTTAAAAAGAAAGCTACAAAAATAGGCTATGTCAGGTCACTTACTTGACAACTTTCCCATACTTTGAAAATATCTGAAATACAAACGAGAATAAAAATATTTAGCAATAGACAACTGCACTTCCTTAGTAATAAATTCATCAAGACAAACTTTTCCAAGTAAAAGCTATATATCAGTATTGTATTTACAGTCAAAATTGTTGTCAACAACTTTAATCTGAACAATGCAGCTTTTAAAAACTTACCCTGTACAGATCATTGTTTGTCAAAGCGAAGGGTAAATTGGACACATACACTGTGCTTTTGCTTGGTGCCAACCCACCACTCATTTTTCTGATGACGGGAGAAAGAGAGAAGAGTTAAGCGGTATTCAACAGCAAAAGCAATTAAAAAAAGACAGTGCAAAACTTCAAGTTGTTTTTCAAACCTAGCCCAGATAGTCATTCATCATAAAGTTGCATGAAATAAGTATATTCCTTCCTCCTCTCCTGGATCCAGAGTATATTTTTGCTGCATTTGAGTCAATTTGTAAGTCATGAAAAAACAGACATGTTTCACATACTTAAAAAAAATCTCTGCCGATTTGTTCAGTAAAGAAAGGTTTAGGTCCAGAAGGAAACAAGTAATGTCCATTTACTGAACATTATGGTCAATATGGGAAATAACCGACCTTTGTTCAAGTACCTGCATGATCTGAGTCTTCACACAAGTTTCAGTACAGGCGCATTCAATGAAGAGTAAACCACAACTGGTTAAGGGGTGGGGGTGGGGAAAAAGCTTCCCTCAAGCAGAGACCTAATTATTGGGGTGGGAATGGGGAAGATACTACATTGACTTTAAAATGTATCTAAGATGCTAAAGCAGCAGGCATTTCCTTTTGTATCTCTTGCTCAGGAACTGCAAGCGTCCACAGCTGACCACAGCACCTCCCCTAGAGACATTCTCACCTCCTCCTCCCACCCAGC